TGATAATAATGCAAAGGATGGAAACAAAGAGGAAGGATCCATAGTCAGAAAATAGAGCCCCGGTGACAGAAATGATGCTGGAGATTGCATGATAGAATTTTGCAAAACCAATGTCTTATTCATTGTGAATACCTTATTAAAACAACATAAATGGCAGCTATACACTTGGTAGTCACCAGATGAAATATACAGGAATCAAAGTGACTACATCTGTGGGAAGAGGCAACAGAGAAGCTCAATATCATCAGTCAAAAAAAGGCCAGGAGTTGACTGTGGAACAGACTATAAATTGGTTTTATACAAGTTCAGGCTGAAGCTGAAGAAAATTAAAACAAGTCCATGAGAACCATAATATGACCTAAAACATACCCCACCCAAGTTTAGATACCATCTCAAGAACAGATTCCATGCATTAGACACTAATGATCAGAAGACATGCATTATACACAACCAGAAGAGTTGTGAAATGGCATTAGACCATCAGACTGGCAGAAAGCAGAAAATAATTAAATGATAAGAAAGAAAGAAAAACCTAAAACGGATAAAGAGAGATTCTAAAACTTGCTCTAGAACATCGAGAAGCTAAAGCAACTAGAAGAAATGAGGAATCAAAAGAGCTGAAAAGAACATTCCAAGATACAGTTGGAGATGAACTTTATAATGAAATGTGCAGAAAACTAGAGTTAGAAAACAAAAAGCATTTCCCAAGCTGAAAAACTGCATTAAGCATAAGAAGATGGAAGGAATATGTAGAGTTACTGTACCAAACAGAAATGGTCTATGCCCATCCATTTCAAGAGGTAACATATGATCAAGAGCTGATGGTATTGAAGGAAGAAGTTCAGGCCTTTGCAAAAAAAACAGGCTCTGGGAATTTACAGAATACATATTGAAATGTTTAAATAAACTGATGCAGCACTGGAAGGGCTCACTTATCTATGCCAAGAAATTTGGACAAACAGCTGCCTGACCAACTGATTGGAAGAGATCTATATTTGTGCACATTCCAAAGAAAGTTGACAACACTAGAATACAGAAATCATCGAAGAATATCATTAGTATTTCATACAAGCAAAATTTTACTTAAGATCATTCAAAAACAATGCACCAGTACATTGACATGGAGCTGCCAGAAAATCAAGTTGCATTCAGAAGATGATGTGGAACTAGGGATAGTACAGCTGACATAAAATGGATTGTAGCTCAAAGTAGAGAAAATCAGAAAGATGTTTACTTGCACTTTATTGTCTATGCAAAAGCATACAACTATGTGAACCATAACAAACTTTGAAATTGCCTTATATTCCATTAACTTTTCCCTCCATTTAGTGCAGTGTATTTTATCCTATAATCTACCTGACCTTCTCACCATCTGGATCGCTGTTCGTACTTGTTTACCTTCTTTCACATGGTAATTGTTTTGATCATAGACTGACCTCCCAGATTCTATGTTTGTTCTTATAGTTTTGTTTTGTTCTCAACTCTTCCTTCTGTCGATTTAGTTCTGAGAGGTGCTGCCACGTATGTCAATCTCTGATTGTTGTCTGTTCTTGTTGGTTCTCAGTCCACAGAACTCCT